ACAGCCTCAGGCAAAATTCCAACTATGGCTATGGAGCGCTACAAACCTAGATGGGAGGAATTTACCTTTTAATAAGATCAAGTTAGATTATCCTAGATAATACAATATTTTCATTGTTTTTTTTATAACCTTCTTTTAGATATTATCAGTTTGAAATCTCTATAAATGCCTAAATGCTGATTAATATGATGAAATTATCTATATGTCCTTAGAAAAAGAGCAAGGGGTAAGTTGTTCAGATTTCAGAAGATGCTGAGGGCACCCCATGTGGTCCTTGAGGGCCCCTTGGTGCCCGCAGGCACCATGTTGGTTGGGGTTTTGAAACCAGCTTACCTTTCTGAGGGTACTGGAGGAGGGCAATATTGGCTTACATTTGGAGTCCTTTGAGAAATGTATAGAATTGATTTAAGGGGATGTATTATGTTGAAGCAGAGAGTGCTGATAATAAGTAATGTCACATTAAGCCATGGAACTTACTGCATGTTAAAGTTTATTAGCCAGTCAGAGTTATTATATCTGAAATATCTGAAGGATTAATCCAGTAGCTTTCAGTTGCGGAGTCTTTGTTACATATTAAATGGAGAAACTGGAGATTTCTGTATTTTTCTTAGGATTTACAATTTCTGAAAAATAAAAATTAATAGTTAAACTAAATATCATGATGAATAATACCTAAGTTACATTAAATCAATAATCAAATGAATAGATTTTGATCATTTGATATCCAGTCGCTGCTCATTACTGAAAACAAAAGGAACAAAAGAGAACAAACATAAAGCAAGAGACATTCAAAAGGATTTATAATAAAAAGATAGCACTAAAAGTATGACAGAAAGGTGAAAAAGCTGATGTATATAAACATAAAGAAGGAAAGCTATGGTCTTATTGGAATGCCTTTTGCTTTACTTTAGTTTAAGAAGTGAAAAATAGGCTAAATAAAACCATGATGCAGAACCAACCTTGAGCCATCAGCTTTTAGCAAACGAACAGACCAAAAAACAGGAAAAAAGTGTCCCACTTGGTTATACTTGGCTTTGCTACTGCTATTTGACATTTACATTCAGTCTCCATCCAGGGGAACGCAAAGGAATGTGCAATTAAATGCTGTTGTAATTTTGCTACTGAACCAAATAACTTTTAGTCTGTCATATATTGTTCTGTAAACATCCTCCCAACCGGCTGTGTCTCAGGACAACGGATGAAAGTGTGAGTCAAGCTCTAATCATGGTCAAACATTTAATTATGCACACAGAATATAATCAAAGCATACATTCAAAATATGAGTTTATTAAAACTCAAACATAATTAACTTAAAAGCTCTTAACTAAACTAGTGAAACTCAACTAAACTACAATATACAGAGAAAAAGAAGAAATGTAAATGGTTAGAAACCATAATCAGTTAAAGCAATGAGATCACAGTGTGGCATGGATTTTATGTTTTAGAGCCAAGTTCATCTTGAAGAGTTTGGAATGAAATTAGCTTTTAAATAATTTAAATTAATTATAATGTGTTCAAACAAATTCATAATGCAAATCCTAGAGGTAAATAAAATATTTTTTGTTAAAATAATTATTTATTTATTTATTTTATTTTATTTTTTTTTCAAATCAGAAACCCATAACTTTTTAGATAACTGATTATTAACCAGAGGGAATATTTAAGGTGAGGACGACATAGCTCCTTCTGGTAAAACAAAGGAGGTAGTAGCTTGCAGACACAAGGGAACTTAATTTAAAATGATTCTTTGGTCATATTTTAGCAATTACCTGCAATGAACATATCAGGGGGGAAAACGGTGATGTTGTACTGGTGTTTAAACCCTTATTGAAATAAAGGTAGTTTTATCTTTATAAAAAACATGTTAAATCAAAACATGTTAACTGGGTTAGCTTCCATACAGTCACTTTTAGTCTCTGTTATGTTCGCATTAATCAACAGTAATTCAACCTGGACACACTCACATGGAGAAAAGAAGCAGTTAGAAAGATTTTTTTTGATATGAATGAAATAAGGTTCCTTGAGGCTTGGACCCCAGCAGAAGACTTGATGCTGGAAGTCTATATTAGCTTGGATGAATAACTAAGGAACAGTGTTAGAGTCGTCTTCTCCTCGGGAACTGGAGACTGGTGATGGAGTAAGCTGGAGGATGAAAGGGGCTGAGAATAGTCCTAAGAATGAGGGATGAGATGGGGGTAGGAGTAGGTCAAAGTTCAGCGGATGGGCTGAATTGGGAAGCTGGACCTTCGTCTTATTGAAGAGTTTCTTGAGAAACGAATGGCTTGGTGCAGTCCGTCACGATTTGCTTGAGCTTGAGCAAGGCACATCAGCAGGTCTTCCAGGTGAGGCTGATGAGAGTCTTCCAGGTTGAATTTTGGCATAAGCTTCATAACACAATATGTTCAGTATTTATTAAAAACCTGAAATGGTTTAGTTGGAGAGGCTTTCCCTAAAAAGTGGTGTATTTCTATTTGTGAACGGGACAATTTCAATGTGCATCAAATTATTAGGATAATTTTTATCCTAAATAATAAAATATTAGTTAATTTATTAATATTTATTAAAAACATATTTTTACTTCACAGCCATCATTAATTAATTTTATCTCTTGTTTTATAAATCGGATTCTCTCTTGCTAAGACAAATCTAGTTGGCCTGCCTGGGATTGTCAAACTCCTGGTGAGTAACCACGAGTGTTCATAAGTTATGTCATAGGTTATGACACGATGCAGGCTTATAGGGGTCTGTAGGTTCCCTATCTTTGTTTACTTAAGACCTAGTTTGGTTATACAGTCAGGGGCACACCTAATGACAGATACAGAGCGACACGTTGATACACCTTTGGTCAGCTTAGCTGCCAAAATGTTTCCACCATAGCACCTGAGTCATTTTGATGCATTCCAGATGAGATCTATCAACTAGATGAGATCAATCGACTTGTGCTAAAAGTCTAGTTTTGTTTCAAGCTTCTACATTCCTCTATACAGACCTCCTTTTCCTTTAAAAATACATCTGTCACTAAATTCAACACCTGCTACTGCAAAGCAGGAAACACTTTGTTCTGTATTATATTTCATATAGTGTCATCATTTTTTAGTTCATCAGATACCTTTTAAACAATCTCTGGAATTTTTAGTTTAATCCCTGTTGGAGAGCAAGAGAGGAGAGAAGGAGAGAAGAGCAGAGTTTCCAATGGATTAGATGTCATTGGCCTATAATTGCCATAAATATTTGTTCTCAAATAGTATCAACATTTTGATTTATATTACCATATACCAGGATTGTGTTGTTTTAAACTGCAAGACAGCAAAGCAAGATACTCTACTTTATGTTATATTACCCAGCCCTACCTTCGTGATCCAAACTGTAATTTTGGAGGTAAAAAATAAATAAATAAAAATAAAGGCATTGTGTGAACAAATAAGCAAATATTTTAAATGCAATAACCTGATCAAATGGACTTGTGGTTACGTGGGAGCTGTGTCATCATAATAACAGTATAATCACATTTTTGTGTCATTCCAGTTGCACAGTATAACAAAACTTATCTTTGCCAAATCAATCCTTTGTGGAGCAGTGAGCAACTAGCAGTGCACGGTGAGCATTACAGGGTTAAGATAGCAATGCATCTGGCTACACTAATGAATCAGGCAATGCATGCATGTAGAGGCTGATACCGAGAGACAAGAAAAAATGCAAAAATCAGCCAGATATATTGGCCAGCCAATGTACTGGTCCATTTCTAGTGAAGATGCCCTGTCTAATGTTATTCTTTTATTGGTTGACTCAGACTTTATTGAGAACAAGAGACCCCGTTTCTTACGAGCTTTTTACTTTCCTATTAGAAGTAGATGCTGAACTTAAAATATTACACTAAATGCAAGTGACTCTAACATGATTAATTATTTGAAAAGTCTGATTGGTTTCTAGAAAAAAAATTATTGAAAAAATGTTTTGCCTTGGGCTAAAACTACTGGAAATCTATTATTATTGACTGAAGAAAACCCTCAGAAATTAGAAAATAGATTTTTAATCATCCATTGCAAAGTGCAATATATATATATATATATATATATATATATATATATATATATATATATATATATATATATATATATATATATATATATATATCCGCTTAGGAAAGAACAAGTGTGCTCTTGATTGTTGATTAAGGCAACACATTTTATGAGCAGATCTGCATTGGTGGATCCAAATTTTATTTTCTATACTACATGTGGAATTTAAAGTTTTAAAAAAACAAACCAAAATTGAATCCTTTTCAGATGTTTTTAGGTTTAAATTTTTAGCCCATGTAATTTAATAATTTCAACAAGAAGAGAGAAATAATAAAAAAACTGCAAAAGCTGCATGCTTACTTTGAAAAACAAAAACAACTTGTTATATTTTCAAGAAAAAGACAAATCTTTTTCTGCAGTTTTAGTTGTCTGCGAGTTGAATGAGTGCTGAAACAAATCTTTTATCCCTGAATGGTTTGGGAGTTCTAAGATGTAGATTTTCATCAGCTCCCGGTGAGTGTCGAACTCCTTCTTGGCAGAGTCCTGCTATGGTATTTCCTTATTAGACATTTTATTTCATTTCCTGAGGTTTATAGAATTAGATCTAAAAAAAACCCCTTTGCATTGAGTCTGGTTTATTCATCACTTGATCAAGCACACTGTAATGGTATTCATGTGAGGCAAAAATATCAAAAGGAAGCTTATGAAATATAAAGACTGCTCTCGTAAAATAATGATATCAATAGTTAAGGCTTATTATTCAACAAAATAATGTCAAAATTTCCTACATTTAAGACTGGAAACTGTACTAGGTAAAGGAGAACTGGAATGTCTTCTTTTATAGGCAATTTCAAGTAATTTTCCTGTATTATAAATTGTTTTATATTTTGAGCATAGTGATCTTTTTTTTAATCAGTGTGATAACCCTGTTTAAATATTTCATATTAGTAACCATATTTTATGTTTTGTTTTATCCCCCAGAAACGGAGGCTCTGTGCTCACCCATTCCTGGAGCTCTACAGAGAGGGTGAGATCCAGTTCATCGTCCCTCTGGCTCGGCAGGGGGATTTTTATGTTCCTGAGGTACGACAGGCAGAGAAGAGGCTGTCAGAACAAGAGGAATCTTACAGTGATACAGACATATCAGGTACACCTTGTTTGTTATTCTGTGTGCCGCACTGGTGCAAACCGATCTTTGTATTTTTCTAGATGTCTTTTTAAGTGTCATAGAAGTCATATTACTTGAATCTTTTTATCTGAGTAAAGATTTGATATTCTATGAAAAGCACATTTCTGTTTATTTGTACCATGCCAATTACAGGCATGATCTATAAGTGTATTATTGCATTTTTTGTAATAAAGTGACATAAATATAAGCATATAACAGTATAGAAGAAAAAAGGGGTCTATACATGGGTTGTAATACTTGTTACGGTAATTAAAATCTAAATAAAAAAAGGGCATTTTTATGAAGCTTCATCTCCCCAAAACTAAATCCAGGGCAGTAAATTGCTTTTAGTAGTCAGGCCCTTACTGAAGAGTGGCATGAAAAAAAATACACACCTTTTCGAGTTTTTAAATCAAGTTCTTGTGCATGTTTTTGTTTTATCTATTCTGTAATAAACTAAACATGCTTAATTGTATGGAAACAAATAAAATATTTCAAAGTTTGCAGAGAAAATATCTGCAAATCTTTGAATCTCTAAAATATATTATATAAAGGGTCTATTAGGGTTTTTTTGGGCTAGTATATAACTTTTTTGTTTTAAATTGGTTGTATTAATCAATGGGGTTGAGCACCAGAGTTGCTTTGAAGTAGGAGCTTCTTTGTTGTTGTCTTCACTAAGAAATGAAGATGAATACAGAATCCTGGTTAATGAATGGCAAATAGTTTTGTTGTAGCTAATAGTTTTCTTTATTCTAGGTAGCTTTGTCTGCTTTTTCTGTTATAATGTTACATGGACACAAAGAAACATATTGAAGGCCTGATCAGATCAAAACCGATTCAGTTGAATCGGAAAAAGAAGTTTTATTTTAAAGACAGAGATGGTTTTTGCAGTTGACCACTGCCATGTCATCTATCTACACACACATTCAGATCTTTGGAGTAAAATACCAGAAATCCTCTAATATTGGCCTGTATTACTTTTGCGGCCAGGACTCTAACAATGGCCGGTCTCATTGTCGGCGTAGGTAAATAATGGCCGGACTCGTATACAGGCCTGGCTATAACAATGTTTCTGGGCAGTCCTCAACAACTTGTGATAGTAACATACAAGTACCACATGGGGGCAATATTTGCTAACAAATCCAAGCCATTAACATGGGAAGTCCCGTGCTTATACAGAGATCGTAGTGACCTTACACAATCTTTCCGATCTGAAAGACACGTGATTACTGGTAGGTCTGGTGGTAACCAGGCAGCGTTAAAATGACAGAATTTTATTGGCCTTCATTTTTCTGAATTTCCCTTGAAATATCGGATACCGGTAGCCTACTTCCACTTAGCCTACGTCAAATAAAATTTTGCTGTGATGGCAGAAGAGTTTCCGTTAACTTTTTGTCCCATTTTTTTAAACTTTGTTTCGCAAGTCAGTTTGGCCAAGATTCCATTCTGTGTAGGCTTTTTTTTTTTTTCGTACAGAAAAATTGCAGCTGCTGGAAGATGCCTGAAGTAAGAAAACCTACCTAGTTGATTTGATCGATTGTGAAAACTTGGAAAGTAAGATGTTAAATTTAGAGTAACATTTTCCTGCAAATTGTTAGTTTTATTCAGGTCAGTGTATAAGAATAAGTCTGCCTTTCCCGTAAACACTTTTTTCTTTGTTCGAGACCATTCTGTTTCAATGTTTAGTTCTTGCACACTAGTAATCGATCACTCTAAATTAACAATAATAACTCTAAAAGGAACGGTCACACCGGATGCAAATTTCGCTATGGATTCTTATTTCATCTCTATGTAGAGAGCGAAGCAAAGGTGACAAATTTCGGGAGGTAAAGGCCCAATTGTGATGCGACATTTGATCACCGCCTCGCCTGCGAATGAAGTTGAAAAATCAGAACTCTTGTTTACATTTGCGTCACATAGTCCAGTCAGGGACTAGATGTGGCTGTGGGCTACAGTGAAGGAGTTCAGCGGAGACAAGGTTTTTTAAGTAGAAATGGAAGATAGAGAAAATAATGATGAGAAAGGATGAAGTGGGAATGTATGAGGTAAGATCACTGTCAAAATAAACTTGTGCATAAAAGCATAGTTGTGTGCATTTTAGTCAGAAGTTGTGCATAACAAAAATTTGTAAACTCATAATAATTGTATGTTGCATGTTTTGAATGAGATTTCAATTATTATGAGTTTACAAATTTTTGTTATGCACAACTTCTGACTAAAATGCACACAACTATGCTTTTATGCACAAGTTTATTTTGACAGTGATCTTACCTCATAGGAATGCTCTTAAGAGTATTTAAGGTGGCATTTAAAAAAGCCTTTTTAATTTAGCTCTAGAAGGACCGTTTCGTCATCTTACTTCGAGAGCAGACAGATGCCTTCTCTCCCTAGCTCCGCCGGTGTCTTTCTGGGCAAGCTTTGCTGGGTCTGTGGTACTCGTCTCCTCTCCCCACAGAGCATACAAACATCATGTCCTACTCCTGGGCAGCCATAAGCATTCTCTCAGCTGCTGCTAGTGTAAGCATGGAGATGGATGAAGAGGGAGGACATATGCAGTTTACACCATGGTAAGCTGTGATTTTGTAAAACCACACTTTAGTGCCCATGACAACACATTGTGCTTTATAAATCCATGCCTGCCATAATGAGGTGAAACCAATGACCAGCAGACTCCTTGATATAGGAACTTTTCGCCCACCATGCAAATTATCCCACCATGCAAAAGGCTTTTGCTGGCCAAGCAAATTTCAAGGCAGATGAATTTCAAAAGCAGATGAACCTCACAAAATGTTCACAGGTTTCACATTCGGTGTGAACACACCTTAACAGAGGTTAGCACCAAATTACTCTACTTCTGTAAATGTAGCTGGATGCTGCTTTACGCTGTATTGTCTCAGAGTCTTAATAAATGCATGCCACACTTTTCAGATTTCAGTTTCGTAAAAGAATTAATGAAATGTGTTGTTTCTTCTTCCTTTTTCCATAATTCATAATTTTCATAAAATTTTTCTCAGACATAAAATCCCAATGAAATGAAAAATAATTCAGAGCAATTCATGAATTATATAATTTAGGATAGTAACACAAAGTAATAATTTAATGATAATATATAAATAGGAAAGTAAAATTACCCATTCAGTTTTCCCAATATTTCCATTTGTTTTTATTAAGTGGTTAAATTAAAACCATTTCTGCACAGAGTCAAGTTTAACTTGATCTTACTGGATCCAGTGCATCACGGTGGCCATTATAATGCTGTCAGCTGCCTTGGTTTTGCACAGTATGCTGTCTGTTTACATTTGCTCCCAGACCTGAAGGAAATATTTCGCCGTTAACCTGCTTTTCTCTTCACTATATTTTCAAGCTCCTTATATACCATCAGGGCAAATCAAACAAAACAGGAAAGATTGTAAATGCAAAGCAGGTGATATAATAAACAAACAAAAAAAACTCCACAAATTGAAAGGATGATATTTTTTAAGAAGGCCTTCTTACTCTGCCGTCTGTTTGGTCAGGCTTCTTGATGTTTTAACTTGGATCTAGGGGATTGGACTTTGTCTCGATTGCTGTTTTGTTTATGGGCAGCTTTACAGAAGTAAACTGTTACTGACACCTTCTTAGGTGTTAATGAAAATTCCAAACACAACAGCTTCTGCTGGAGCTGTGCTGTCACTCACCAAGTGGGTTACTGCAGCTTCAAGGACACTGCATGGAATCCTGCTTTCAGCAAAAACCCTGCTTTAAATTAAACATGATACTAATGAGATATAAAGTAGCTCAAAGAAGTCTATGGAGTTATAGTCGGTTAATTAAGCTCATGTTAACAGCTCTGTAACACAGGATTAATGTTACCTTGATTCCACATAACTGTTCATTTCAAGTCAGTCTGGCATTAGATAGATAGCAGGTGCCTGCTGAACCCAGGCTTTCCCTTGGATAATCAGACAAAGAGGCATGATTCACAGTAGATCACATCTCCACCGCTATACAGTCCGCTGGGGTGTGCTTTACTTCCCTGTTGTTTTTCAGTGCAGTTGGATCCAGCTGATCAATGGTTTTCCAGGTCTGAAGCTTCTCACTGCAGAACATTGAAGACATCTATTTATTATGCACCTTACTGCTCTGTTATGTATTTATTTATTTATTTATTTATTAGGGCCCACAACTTAGTGGTTGAGTTGTTATTCTTAACACTGACTTTATAATATATTATTACTAAGGACATTTTACATTTTGAGTTACTGCACAAGAGGTATTCAATCACAGTGTGGAGAAGAGATTGACTGACCTCTTATGAATCTATGTTGTGCTCTCAGGCATCTTGTTATTTTATTTGCTAGTCTGAAATTTCTTTTCTTTTTCATACACATTAACAGATATGAAAATATGTATTTCTCTGTGTAATTTAAAAGCTGATACACCACTTGATTGAATTAAAAGGATTGTAGACTTTCGGACGAATAGGACCTAGACTTTTTTTTTTTAATATCTTGTAGGAAAAAACATCTATGTGGGGACTTAGAAATATTTTTCACAAATCATCATATATGTGAAACAGTGCAGCCTCTGCACTGTCTACATAGGATTCTACAAAAATATTCCCCTCTTGTCAGTCTTTCTTCTTTCATTAGAAAAGAATTTGAATGAATGTTATCTTTTTTTTTTTTTTTTTTTTACTTGGTGCATTAAATCTTCAGATGTTATCCCCACGATATCTCTCACAGATTTGTGTGTTTTTAACAACCAAAGAAAAGCTTTGCAACAGCAGCTAGGTTTACACGGACATAAGCAGGTGGAATAAATAGCTGATTGGACTTAAAATGTGTTATGTAAACGTGACAGTTGAAATATTCTGATCCGATTCAGCAGGATCAGATTTAAGAACTAAGAGAGCTGGTTTATGTCGATTGACAATCCGATCAGCATGCGTGAAAACTCTTGTCAGGATCAACTTATTCTGAATCAGGAGAGCTGACCTC